AAGAATAATATAGAATAAAATCAATTTAAAATCCATATACCTAATTATCAAAAACTTTAAATAATTGTATTTCTTCATTTTAAAATGCATAAAGTCCATTGTTTATTTTGTAGAAATTAAAACTGTAATATTATTTATCATAATTCGTACTTCTTCAGACTTTTAAGTAATACATATTTATAAAAGTTTATATAATTTGATTACCAAACATTTTTGAAACTAAGTGACATTATAAAGAAAGAGGAAATACCACAGAAGTTTAACGAATCGTGGAAATAGGATACATACCTAATTAAAATTGTATTGTATACCGAACGAGAGATAAGGGTTTTGGAGATATACATTGATTTTATTCTTAAAATAGATTTTTAGATATAATATTTAAATTAATTATTTAATGTTCATGAAAAATTAAATAAACATTTAATGCCTATAATATTTTAAATTTTATTGTAAATAGTAGATTTATTTTATTTTTTATTTTATTCTTGAAATTTACACAGTTAAATTTCCGCTTCGGCAACAGGGGCCATTAGCGTTACATTTTAAAAATAGTAGATTTACAATTGTAATTTTAGTTGAAATAATTGAAATCCCGTTTTTAAAATATTATATCAAACAGTTCTAACTCGAAGAAATAAAAACTACATATGAAATGGGTTAGTTAGTAGTTACACAACACAGTCGATATTCAAATAATAGTTTATGGTACGGACAATAATATTACCTTATGTCATTATTATACAACAATACTATCCATCGATTTTGAAATTACTTTCCGATACAAATAATGATGGTTTGACGTATACTACACTGTAATAGTTGTTGCCTACCCTCATAATATGTGACAGTGACAATAAAATATTAAATACTAAAAATAAATATATTTATGTTTGTTCTATTTTACCAATAGACAATAATGCATAGAATTCGCATTTGTTTTCAACAAGACAAAAATATAATAATATGAACGTACTAATGATTTATTACTTATATCACCTAAATATAATAAAAAATATTTATGACTCATATTTTATTTGTTTGTATGAATACGTCCAAACGAGTTACACGGTGACCGTAAAATAAATAACGTTAATTAATTTAATTGCTAGTTATTTGGTATGTTATATTTAGGTATATGTATATGTACTTTGTATACACGACGTGTATATGTTCGAAAATCATTATTTGAATAACCTACCTATATGCCATAATATCAATGGGATAACAGCATGCATTCAACAATTTTGAGAAACGTACGTAGAGTAAAGTTAAAGCTACTATATTTATCAAAGTTTTCTTGGTTTCGTTTTAATGATATTGCATTAATCATCACGAGTATGGTTCTCAAGTACTTAGGTATTTAGATGCAAGGTGATCGATTATCGTATACGTTGAAGTTAAACGAATATTGTTATAATATTTCTATCAATTTTGTTTTCAATGTTTCGATGCAATCTACTATTTTACTACCTATTTGCGAGTTCAATCGATTTTTCCAAGACTGAAATATATATAAAGGTAAAATATTACACCCTTATAAGAGCGTATACGACCCTTTACACCCAGTAGAATATAGTGATACACAGAAGTTTGGTGCGTCACTTAATTCGGTAGGTTAGGTACCTACATGTAAAGTTGTATGCAATGGTCGAGATTTTATTATGAACGAATAGAACGATTGACGTTAACAATAAATTGTTGGAAATATTGTTGATTTTCAGAAAAAACTACGATAAGATACTAAATTTTATGACAACAGTGAACAATATTGTAAAACCAGAAGGAGGCAGATGCTTAGCTTCACTCAGGATCCACAATATCCCTCAGGAAATAAATAAGTAGATTTAGTTAGGTACCTCCTTAGTACCTATTGGTTTATAAGTTATTGATTTCCACTACTCTTTACGCTTCCAAATTGCTTTTATTGTGCTTATAAGGAGCATTACCTATATAATATTATGCCTTTAAAATAAAACAAATTACACAAATATTGGGCATGATCAATTTAGAACTAAATACATTTCAAAAAAAGACTTGGATTTTCTATTCCGTTTTTCCATAGCAAACTTTAAATTACATTGAAATTCGCTTAAATAATTGTTCTTTATACTTATAAAATATATTTTCATTTTATTTTTATTATTAAAAAGTTTACATATGTATACGTCTTCATACTGTGCGAAAATGATATACAAGTACCTATATTCAATGTAAGATCATAATTGTGTGTAAACAATCATAAATAATAGTTTTGATTATGAAAATAATTTACAACCTAAATATGTTCGTATAAATATATACGAGCTATAGTAGGTATATTATGAAATTGCATTGATAAGCTAATCTTTTTTTTATTTGATCAAAAGTTATGTTTCATTTTGTATTGTTACCTTGTAGAAATTCTAATTCAATGAAATCAACTTCTTTTTTTCACTGGTTTTAGTCACAAATTCGGAAATTAAATATTTCTTATGTCTCGATATAATGTAAATAACTAGGGCAGTGAAGTTGTTGCATTTGCGTGTTTTTTGAAAATTATTATATTTATTGTTGAGTGAGCTTAAAATATGTTTCGTTAAACTCTATTAATTTAAAAATAAAAATAAATTATATTGCATTAAATGCAATATTGGTGATTCATTTTAACTTTATAGCAATTTTAAATATTTTTCAGTATTTTCGTTTACATTTAAGATTATATAAAATAAAAATAGGTAAACGTAGCTGTGAACAAATTTCTATATTTGTTGTAATACTTATTAGGTATTTTATTAATATTTCTATAGAGCGATTATCGCATTTAGGTCTACAAAAACTATTTAGGTCTATAAAAACTTGTCTCTCAATGAAATATACTATCATCATTCAGTTATACTTAAAAATACCGACACCATATTGTAACTATAGTAATATATATTAATAGAGGTACAGTACAGTAGGTACTGGGGGAGCTAGAACCATCCGCACGTTTTCGTGGCCCGTACTGTAGTCGTTCGTTATACTTTGTCACATCTATTTCGTCCATTAAAATTCCAGAAGTCAAACCGATTAAATCAGCAATTTAAAAAAAATATGAAACATATTTAATTTTTATTAGTATTAGGTATTTATTAATATATTTGATTTTATTGAGTATAGTTAAATTTTTACGATGCAATTTTTAATATATTTTAATGCAATAATGCAATCAATTTAGTGAGTTTTTTAATGCAATAACTTCACTGCAATCATATTATTATCATGTCTATAAGTACAATGTATATTATATATTTATACCATTTAAACATAAAGCTTTTAAATCAAATGGATGTAACTTGTAACTTGAATTTTAGAAATCCAAGGTACACTTCAATCGAAGTAAAAAAAACTTTCAAAGAACACGGCACAATGATGTGATGTTAACTTGTAACAATAAATAAACAACAACTAAAAATACACTGGAGCCTTAAATTGAAATTTAGAACCAGAAACTGAGGAATATAACCAGAGTTTAGCAAACAGAAATAAAAATAAACTTTTCTTAGTAAAATAGTATTACTTTGTATATTATAATCAACATAATAGTCCATGAAAAGTTACATATTATTTATAATACATATACACACGTTGTAGTGTTGTACACGTATACCTATTAAATGATGACTGTTATATGTATAGTATTTTTTTTTTAACTATTAACAAATAATAATTGATAGTAGGTTGACAAAATTTAATAATTATTTTGTAGTTAAAAATGTGTAAAATGTTTAACTTTTATATCTAAGGATTGAAAATTTAAAACAAGATTCCACGTAAGTAGTTCTGTTACCAAAGATCTAATAAATACAGAAGGACAGTTTATTTTTATAGTCATTTTAAATTCAAATTTTGAAGAAATTACACAATAAAACACCTAGAGTAACTATTTTAGTTATTTTGTTGTGATTGTATAATATTATTCATGGGTACTTGAAATTTTTAAAGTACACTATTATATATCTATGATAGTATCAGGGTTTGTTGTTGATGTATAATGCGTTATAAGTACCTAATGGATATTGTGATATGATTAATTTGGAATTTATTATAGGTACCTATTATAGGTCAATTTTTTTAATACCATAGATATAGGTATATAATATGTCTTATACCTAGACTGACATATAGTCTCCGCTCAGAATCGTTTTTCTTATACAATGATATTATATCATTGAATTTAAATTTAATACCATCCATTATACAGTGACCCACTGCTTGTAACCTCATGTACAGCAGAGCACCTTTTTTATTTTTTTAAATCGTCGGATTTGACTGCCGCACGCTGTATAAGGAAATAATTGTTTTTTTTTCAGATTAAAAGAAACCCAAGTTGAAGTTTAGCCTCTATAAAAATTATTTTAATCACTTTTTTTTATCACTCATATTTTACAATTTATTAAAAATAATAACAATTTAAGTGCATTTTTGTATTGCATTATTTATAATTTTTATTTTTTAGGGCATTTTTTGTAGGATTTTATAGGGCGTTACATTCCCAGCCCCACTTATTACATTGTATTGTTGGTATGTACTAAGTATACATTCACAATAGGTGATGCTTAAGCTACATCAACAATTAATTTTACGACGTTTGTGATCTTTGTAGTAATATGCTGTGATACTACTGGCCAACTTTCAAAATTTATTGGAGATTATCAGATGGGGAAATTTTCAAATTTGCACAACCAATTTTGTTGTGACATCTTATGCTCCACAGTAATTTTAAATAAATTGAGGTTACCTGATTTGACTTGTGCAACTGTGTGGGTATACAATTGGGTACGAGTGTTTTATAAATTATCAAGTTAACTGTATCTGCCACATAATCGTCCAGTAAATTATGTAAGGGCGAGTAAATAATAAAGGTCATACTTAATGCTACGTTCCGATTCGAACAGTAACCATGTTCGTATAAATGTGGTCTTAAAGGACAAAAACAAACCCACCACCAATATAATATACTTGAACAGCGTTACCCGTTACACGCGCGAGCTTACCTGGTACGCCGGCTTGTTGTAACCGTCAGGTCGGGTCTTCTGGTCGCTCTCGAGGAATATGCAAGCCGTGTGCTCGGCGCTGGAGAAAGTGTACGTGACCTCGCCGTGTCTGGCGAGCACAGGCAACGCGAGCAGCACGATGAGCACCCACGTGACGAGTATGGCGGAGGACGCGTTGCGCTCGGTGCGCACGTATATGGAGGCGATCGGGTGGACGACGGCCAGGAAGCGGTCCAGCGACATGAGCACCAGGGTATAGACACTTGCGTACGCGGTAACCACGATCAGATACTGGACCATTTTGCACCAGACGTCACCGAATGGCCAGTAAGGCAGCATGTAGTCGACGGCGGTAAACGGCACACAGAACACTATGAACAGCAGGTCGGCCAACGCCAGGTTGATGATCAACAGGTTGGTGGTGCTCCGCATCTGCTGGTTTGCCATCACCACGATCACCACCAGCAGGTTGCCCAGCAGCCCAACCACCACGATGATGCCGAACAGTATGGGCACGGCCAGTGAAACGATGCGCTCCACCTGCGCCGAGTCAACGGACAACAAACAATAAGGTATATTTTTTATTATTTCATTATCGTGACATGATATTATGTCATAAAGACGTTTATTACGATATTGAATATCGTGAACGAAATCATATCGTATCAGGTAGCAGTGGGTTAGTTATCACTATAGTCGTAAGGGCTGAAAAGGCTGGGGCCCTCCATGAAATGTCAGGAAATATAAAAATGCTTTCTGTGTTCTATGGATGTATGAAGTTATGATGGTAGGATACAGTGTTGAAATTGTAATTTGTTTGAATGTTACACAATACACTGTTGCAGAAAAAGTCTAAAATGTTAAACACCCTCGGCAATTATGAGGGATCCTAGATAACCCTTCCCTACATAATTTACTATTAGCCCCAAAGCAAAATCCCGGCTATGCCACAGTTAGGTAATATTTTTGTCGTCTCGGGTACACGTACAAGTGTTATTATGATAGAGCTACGATTTTGATGTCTGATATAATGCTTTATGAGTTATTAAATATTATCATATTGTGGGATCCCCCTAGATATAGGTAATTTATAAATATTAATTGTTTTATATTTTATATAATATGAGAATATATTAAAATTTAAAATAATATATAATCTTATACTATGACTATATGTCTATATCGTTGTTGGATTTAGTATTTTATTTGTTGGAAAAGCAGTTAAACTCTCGAAAACATTCGAATAGAAAAAACTATTGTTTGTTAAATACGTCGTTTTCAAATCGGCACATAAAAAAAAATCAACTGTTTTAGTGAAATCAACTGCGTAAACTGTAAGCAAAGGCCTTGACCGAGCGTTAGCTGTTTTTTGGTATTCATAAATGCGTAGGTTTCAAATATAATAAAAGCTGCACCCGTATTCAACTATACACCAATGCAAGCTATTTTTTATTTTTTTTTAAAATACCAGGATAAATACATTTTTTTAATGGGTTTATTGTTATTATTGTATTCAAATCGTTTTTAATTCAACAATTATAAAGGTATTTTTATTATTTCGAAACTCTTTATTTCAGACAACGCACATCGTTTTAAAGATTTTTAATATAATTCCATACCTACACACGCGAGCGTTTGCGTTATATTAGTCCTTTTTTTGTCCTTCCGACGGTGGTTAGACGACTTATGAGATTCGTCCGGGGGATTATGGCGGTCCGTCTACCCCGCAGACGACCCGACCACGAACCGAACCGGAACCGGCCGTGACCGCATAAAGTCCACCTTGCAGTGTCAGTGGTTTTTTTTATTTTTATAAATATTCCAGTGTGCTATGCCAAGAAAAAATATACATCTTTATTATATAGCTCCGGGTGTGAATTTGAATGAAAACAGGAGTTTTTTGATTTTTTACATAATACACGTGGTTTACTTCATTTCACTAGCGCTGAAATGTTCCACGAAATTGATGCATAGACGAGCATAGTTCTCGTAGTGTCCACCACTTATGAATATTGTATTTGTTACTTTCATCACGTCGTTTAAATATACGTTTATATAAAAGACTAGGTATACCTACCCAAAGAATACATCATCTAGGGATATATTGTATATATTATAATATTATATAACGTTTTATTCGGTTTCCATCCAAGAACATCTTTCCATAACATTTGTATTTTTTAGTATAAAAAAATTGTATCAATACATCTTGAAACAAAATATTTAATAGTTATCTCTACTAGTCTAATATGACCATATTATGAGATAAGGAATCACACACGTAGGTAGTTACATCCATGACAAATTAGATAGGTATCATCATAGTATTTTGATACGCATCCTCCGCTCTTTACTTGGCCTATATCGTAGTTCTCCACTCCTTATTGGCTGTCAATCACATACATACATATATAACATAGAACAAAATCAACCAATGAGAAGTGGAGAACTACGATATAGGCCGGAGGTGAAGGACATGCGTATCTACTGCGCAAAACTAGTACAACTGTGATGATACCTATCTAATTTGTCATGGTTACATCAATAGTTAATTTGCCTGGTACCAAATCCTGACACAGATGATATCCAGAATGTATCTCCAATATATTAAGATGGCATCGGATCTCTATCAACCATTATTATCACCGAAGTCATGACAAAATCCTTACTATTCAAATACCTAGGTTAAGCACTATTAGAACTGTTATCATGAGTTAATAACTTATTAACGCAATACTATTATTTATATAATTAAGTTTCATTTGTCTAATATTCAAACATACAAACTCCTAGTTACAATATTTATCTTTAGTTGATAATTGATATGATCCTTAGTATTAGAATTTAGAAATACCAAGGAATAATCATTCATAAACTATGGTCGATAAGCCAGAACTTCGTAGCACTTATAATATTGCATTGTCCATCACACCCATCTTGTAAAATGACGTACCAACACGCAGCAAGCTTCAAATTGGTAATTTGAAATATATAACGGTACCAAGCCTCACCCAGGAAAGAAATCTTTGAGGCCACAATATAAGTTAAGCGTCCTATTAGACATATTACAGATATACATAGGTATAAGTGGACGTTAAGGATGAGGCAAGTTGTAAGTACACAAAAATACATACATTCACACACCTAAAAATAGACATATAGAATAATCATGTAGTCACACATAACAATATGTGGATTGTGGATACCACAAGATGATTTAAAAAAGGTAGTAAGTTAAGTACAGTGTTATAAACAGCACTATTGTATAGGGTGGGGATAAGTGGAAAACAACATAACCCACATACGAAAGTAGGTATTTTTACGTCTAAAAAAAAAGAATGTATAAGAGTATGAAATAAAATGTAGGCGAAACTCCAACCCCCTAAATTCAAAAACCTATAAGTTACGCCTATGGTCATGAAGTTATAATAATGTCCTATAGATTTTAATAAAATGTATACTTATAATACACGATATTTCAAAATTGTATACTAAAATAATCAAATTATAAAACTATATTTTCTTTTCATTTTCGCTCATTCGTCTATTGCGTCTTCAACTGTTAATATCAAGTTGTGGACCTAACTTAATAACAAATTATATTGAGACCCTCGATTAGAACCATTATATTATATATATCGATTCTTGACTTGTAATTACTAATTGAACTCAATAAAAAAATAAAATAATATTGAAGAATTAACATTTTTTCAAATTAAATTTGATTTCATCTAAGTTATAATAGTTATAATGTGTATGTCAGTTTATAACGTAGGTACAGTAAAATATAGTTAATATATAGTGAATAATACTCTTATCTTATCCTATCGTTTTCCAACAAAACATTTTTTATCCGTGAGCCGTATTCGAAAAAAACGTACAATGATGATTAACGATAAAGCTTTTATCAGTCTAAAAAAATCTTAAACCATTAAATAATTTCTATGTTGTTAACTTGACTATCACTTATAAATTAATTAAATTATTGTAATAATAAATACATATTTTTTTTTTATCAGACTGACCTAACGCAGTTTTAATTAAAACCAACTTAAAAATCCATTTATATTTTGAAACTAAAAAACAAGCCTATTGTGTCTTACACTCAGCTTATGTTGTACCTGAGAACAATTTTAGGGGCCCATTTTTCAGCTTTACCTGGGAAGATCCACATTTTTGTGTTACGAAACTGCTCCACGGCAAATTTGTTGGTTGTTACTGCATTATTTGTCGTCTATATCGTTCACCGGCTAACACATGTTGCATACTACCACCACGGTAAACATATAAACACCATACTCACACGTTGTCCAATGTCCCTTAATTTATTTATGATAGTTCATCGACCTCAAAAATTAACCTGTACACGTTTAATTTTTACCGGTGTACTCGCCTCACTTTTTTTTTTTACTTGGTACCTTTTTGACAATCTTACTTTTTTCTACTACACATGCATGGTTAATATGGCACTGCAATAATACTTATACAACTCTTGATGACAATTGTCCTTATAGTAACTAATTAACACCTAGGTTATCACAGTTATCAAGGCCGTATTTAAAGTGTTATTTTTTTCCCATGGGAACTTACCGTATAATTTATTAAATTAATTGTACCTAAATCGTTAACATTTTTTAGCAGTAAAATCCGATAATAATTGTAAATATTATATTACTTACTGAATGTACCTAATTTTTTTTTTTAGTACAGTGGTACTATCAATTCATCACAAATTATAAACAAATAATTCTGTATTTTCTTATCACATTACAATTAAATGTTTTTCAATAGGGAGAGAAAAACTTGCTACACCATAATATTCTTAGTATAATATTAATCAAAGTTAATAATAGTTCACAAATGCACCAACTGTAAGTTAATGAATACAAATCTAAAGATACGAAACCATTACCTTCCAAACAAAACATACACAGAATACCGCAAACCACGCCATTAAATAATTAATACCACACAATTCTCTTAAGTCATTTTCTATGAACAATGTTAGCTTAGTAACAGCCAGCTATAGTCACGTCCGGACTACCTTTAATTCCTTTCAGATTTTTATGTCTATAATAATATAACAAATAATAATTATTATTATTACAAATTGTTTGATAAATGGTTCTTAGTAGGTACTTAGGTACCTATTACTTATATAGATAATGTATTTAAGTAGGTAGTCGTATTTCATGGATTGACAAGTTATCTAGTAGGTATTATACATAATTAAAATAATTTGTAAATATTTCCTTAATTATGTTAAATTTTCTCCAGTTTATATGTTATAGATTCTAGACTAAACGATAATTGTATTGGTTTCCTTCTTTTTTTAAACGTGTCTGTTATCACCTTTTGGACCAGTAAAAATTCTTTAATCTACAAATATGAGGGTGGCTTCTAGGAGAAAATTGGATGGAGGGGTTTTTTTTTTTTTGGGGGGGGGGTCTATTGATTTGGAGTATATGGTTGAATACAAATGTAGACTTACAATTTAGTTTACGGACGTGAATTCAGTTTCTAAAGTAACCATTCATTAA